TTTCTTTTCCACATGATAAAATTTGGTTATAATTTTCCAATTTTGATGTTGATTAGTGAGCTGTTTAACAGTGATTTGATTGGAAAGAAAAAGGCACTAAAATTAAGATTGGTCATTTGCTTTTGGAATTAAAATATCAATTATCAATGACAAACCTCCACCTCAGTCAATGGAGTTAGTGAACTTCATAGGAAACTAAGAAAGGAAATACCGGTAGGTAAGAGCGTGTTTAGTAACGTCCTCGTTTTTTATTTCTCATTTCTAATTTTCTTAAAAAATCTAAGTATTTTTCAACTAACTTTATTTGTTTATTCTTTTTGGGAACATTCTCACAATTGTATAGAAATTTTGGAAACAACCAAAACTAGTTTCTCTTTTTTTGTTCTCATTTCCAATTTGTTGATCTAAAACATAAATAAAAAGATTGTTTTATCATACTTGAATTCTTAGAGGTTAGAATCATGCAATACATTTTTCTTCATTAGAAATAAAGAAACAACAACGTTACCAAACGAGCAATTTCTTGTTTTCTTATTTTTTTCTCATTTCTAATCATTTGAAAAATGTTTAGTCTTTGAATAATGTTTCTATTTCTTGTTTTTCTCTTTTAAGAAACATTTCTTAGAGATTTTAAAACAATAAAATCAACTCCCTTAGTTTCTTATTCCTATATTTTTTAGTTTAACTTTTTTTCAAAATATAAATAAAAATATTATTTTATCATTTTTACTCAAAAGAGCATAAAAAATAACATTAAAATTTTGAATATTTAATTTAAAAAATTAATTTTCATATAAATTTTTTACTTTTTTAATTTAAATTTTAGAGAACAAGAAACAAAAATTAGGTACGAAACATGTTTTACTTTCCTTTTCTAAAAAAGTAAAAACAAAAATTAAAACTTATTACCAAACACAAATTTGTTTTTCTTAATTGAAAAAGAGAAAAAGAGAAACATAAAAAAAAAAAAAAAAGAATCATGAACGTCATCAAATAGATTCTAAATACTCTTGAAGCATATATTATTATTTTTAATTTCATATGTTTGAAAAGTTTAAATTTTAGCATACATGGGTCTAAACTTTTTAACGAAATTCTTATACTAAGTAAACTTTTTAGTGGTAGAGACCTCGCATATTGGACATTAGACCTCAACTGTCGACAAGGTTTTTGGACTCATATTTTATTTAGTTTTGTAGTAATTTTAAAAGCCAAGTTGATCAAAGTAAAGTTAATTAAGTACTTAAATACACAAATTATTTCATAGATCAGCATCTAATATATTTTTTGTTTAGCTTAAGTCTAATTGAATTTGAATTTGTTTCTGTTAAAGATCTGATCGCTCTCAAGGGATTTTTTATCCTGACCCCTTTCAAGAGATTTCCGAGAATCAGGTGCAAGAGAGATTGTAACGTACTCAAGTTAGTAGAAATTCGATCTATTTCTGTGTAGAATTTGCAATCAGATTCGAGTCTACTTGAGGATGGAATTACTCCTCTAGTATTTATAGGTGTCGAGTGATTGAAACTACTCTTTAGCCACATTGAACACGTTCCATAGAGGATGAATGGAATCCAAAGATAATGATGAGTGGAGAGTTTAGGGGCGGTTTACCTTAGTTCGACTGTCTCGATCATCTTTTGTTTCTTAGTTAAGATCAATCCATTGGTCGACACATTTATGTCTCAATGTAGGTTGGTTCGACCTAAGACCCTTTATGACATGTGACATATTATTATTTGTCCTCTCCAACATACTCCAATAAACATCTCCAATGTGTAAACGAAAGAATTAATTAAGTAAATTAAGCATCATTATGAATTGAAAAAGAAGCATTTGCATCAAATGTCAAATATTTTGGCTAAATAATGCCAAGACTTTTTTTTCAAAATCATAAAACAGTCCATTAAACTTCAATTTTCAAAAAGGTGTATACCCAAAACAATATATTACTATTATGTGACAATCATAGACATCAAAATATATATTAGAACTTCAATAAATTTCCTTGACTACCAAAAATAATTGCTACCAAACTTATAGTAATTGATTTTGGCCTTGTTTGGCTTGGGCTTTTAAACATGTGATAAACTATTCCACGATAATGAAAAAGAATTGGAATGAAAATTATAGAATTGAAAATAAAAATAATAGTATTATTTCTCAAAATTATTTTAGAATCAGAATCTAAAAGATGTGTATTATGATTTAATATTTTTTCTTTTTTGAGACAAAATTAAAAATGCGAAGGAATTTAAATTAAACATGTAACTTAGACAGATTAATTAGAGTATAAAAAAAAAAGAAAATTGATTTAAGAATAATCAGAATGACAATTCCTCACCAAGAAAAAGAATCCCATTCTTTTCTCCTTTTTCTCTTTCTTTTTTTTTTTCAAAATAAAACTTAGGATAAGACCCAACGAGTCAAGAATTATTTTTTATTAATGACAAATATCTACTGTCAATGGTTTTAGGTATAAAACATGGTATTAACTATTGGTCGATACGTCGACGTTTTCATGTATTCATGGATTCAATATCGACATAAGAGGTAAATTGACGTTTTTATTATTATATAAAAAAAATACAAAATATGAAAACTATCAACAAAATGTCACTAATATATATATAATATTAATATTAATTATTTTTACTTCATTTAGAAATAGAAAAATTGTTTATTTATTAATTTAAATATTTTTTACGATTTGTTAATTTCTCTAACTTTTATAGAAATATCCATCAACATCGATATTTTATCGATATTTCCATTAATATTTCTATGAAATTGAGACTTTGACATTTTCGTCGACATCGACGTTCAAAACTTTGGTGTAAAAAAAGTTTTAAATGTCAATTTTTTTTAGAGAGATCATTTCATTTAAGGAGGAGACAATATAAAAGACACCCCCAATTGAGAGAAACGGTAAATATATAATAATTAAGAAAGAGATTTAGAAGTCAAAGTTTTAAATGTTTGATTGAAAAATAAATATTTCTAAAATAATTATAGAAATAAAAGAATGGATAACAAATAAGTGTTTAGCTTTTTTTAACCAGTTAAAATTTTAATATTAATATTATGTTCCTATTAGTGATATTTTGTTGATATATATATTTTATTTATTATTTTTTTTACAATACTATAAAAAATATCGATTCATCTCAATCTACTTCAAAATTTGGACATATATCAATGAAAATTTAATACTTACAGCCGATTATTTGTGAGGACAAAAACCAATTAAATCGGCAAATAATGAATCAAACGATTCAAATTTTCATCAACTAGTACATTAAAAAATAATTGATGAATTTAATCTTTCAAAAAGTATACAACACATTTTTCATTCAAACAACAAACAAGATCCATAATTTTTATACTTTTCAACCAAGTTTAATTCATATGAAAAAAAAAATTACACCAAAATTTTTTTTATTGAAAATCCCCCAAAATTAACATTTCAAAAAACTGCTAAAAAAACTATTGCCTCGCGGAAAAAGCCTAAATTTGATGCTTTGTTTATAGGACAATAATTTAAAAAACATTTTCTTGATAAAAACGAAAAAAAAAAAAAAGTGTCAAAAAAGGTCTTGAAATTGATGGGAATATTACTCCAAATCCAACATATTGTTATCTCAAAAAAGGCAAGAGATATTATTGATGCTCCACATAATATAGGTCATCGGTGAGACTATGCTATTGGAATAAATTAAAATGTGTGAACATTAATTGTCACACATCACATTTGTAGGGGATATAACGCCATCTAGAATTTGGGCTAAAACGAGCATAACTTAGCATTAATTAATATATATTCAAATTAAAAGATTGTGAGTTCGATCCCCCACATCCTCATATTCCACTAAAATCCATTGAGAATTTATTTTAATTTAAAGTAAACAAACTTTTTTACTCTGAGATATATAAACATTTATAATACAAACTCAACCAAAGAACACGTTGTGGTAATAATTAAAATAGAACACAAATGTTGCGATGAGTAGAGTAAAACAAGAACTAGAATATGAATTTAACGATCAAATTTCGACAAGTCAAAGTTTGGATATCAGGTGGTCATCTAAGGGAGTTGAGACCTAAGTAGTGGACTCGACCCAAGAACCGAAGATCAAGGCCCTCGGGCAACCAGCCTGTGGGCCGGTTGGTCGGCTCGGCCAACCACAAGGCCGACCAACCTTAGTTGGCTGGTTGGCTCGGCCAACCATGCTAGGTTAGCTTGTCCCTCTTCTTTGATTGACCATGGGCCGAGACGATTAACCCAGAGTTAACTTGAACTCGTCTTATTTCGATGGTCTTCCTCTTGCATTGCAAAATGGGCGAGAAGATCCCAAGATCTAAGAAATTGCTTTTATCTAAAAATTTTGAATGACCCTTATTTAAATTATTGTACCGATATCTTTTTTCCTCTCTCTATAAACCACCAAATTTTCGATATTCAATTATTTTTCTTTTGTATAAATTTTGCAGAGTCCAAAGAAGTGGAGATTTTGGAGATTAATTATCTAAGGTAATTTTTTTCTTTAACTTTAGTTACCTAATATGTACTATAAATTTGAGATTATTTTAAATATAATAGTCAGAAAATCTATTAGGAGAAGGATTTTAATTTAGGGCGCAGGGTACCCATAAGAAAATCTTTGTACATATTTATTTTTATATTAACTTGATCACTAGTAAATTCATGAGATCAATAACACACAAATCAAATTCAAATAAAAGTAAATAAATGCCAAATCTTAAAAATAAATTAAAAAAATTATACATAGAATTTGTGAACTCATTCAGAAAACCAAGCAGATTCTGAAACTCTGAAAACAAGAAGAAAGTGAGAATATATTAACCAATCAGAATGGAGCAAACAGCCACGTCAGTTTGCCACGTGGACACCATGTACATTTCACTGAAAACCCATAAATGGAAACCCCCAGTCCATAAAGCTGAACTCTTCATCAGATCATAGCCTTCGAAAAGAGAGAGAGAAATTCATTTTATATTATTAAAAAATATTTATATATATGTTTTTCGATTCATAATTCAAAGGGTATTCTGCTTCTTCTTCTTCTTCTTTTTTATTATATGATTTTAATTTGATTTGTTTTTTTTTTTTGTGATGGTTTCTGATGATCTTCGTTTTTCTTGAGTTGATTTTTGATGATATTTTCAGGGTTTACAGAGAGCAATCGCAGAAGATCAATAATGGAGGAAAATTAGGGTTCCAACTTGAAGAGAGAGATTGAAACGGTAAATTAAAACACTTCATTAATTATAATTTGATGATTTCATATGATAGATCCACTCTCCACAAAACCCTAAAAATCAAAAACCCACTTTGATCGGTTTTTGCATTTTTTTTTTCAATTATCCATTTCTCATAAAAATAAGAACATGCATAAAGGAGGAGGGAAAAAAAACCCAATTTTGATATTCATGTTTTGACCTAGAATCTCTAAGAAATTGATTCATTATATTAATTGAAGGGAAAAAGATTGGTTTTTTATTTGTGGGCAGAGAGAAAAGGGACATGCATGTTCATGATCATCTTTTAATTTTGGAATTAATCTTGCTCTTAGATTTTCTATTAGTTTGAATCTCTACTTACTCTAAATTAATTATGAATTTTTGGTCATGCATGGAAGAATTGAAAATGGATTTTCTATATGAAATTAGGGTAAGATTGCAAAAGTGCATGTTCTTAGTAAATAGAAAATGAAGCAAATGATTGCATAATTAAATAGGTTTAATTATTTAAGAAAACATAAAAATATGTTATGAAACAAGATCTAAACATTTTATTTTCCTTATATAAGATCTTCATCATCTTTTTTATTAAAGCAACACCATTTAATTGAGAAAAACTGCATCAAGTTTCTCATCAACGGAAAGGTTCAGTTTAAAGATATTGATATTGCAGGTGACTATCATGGGATTTTGACCTAAGACCTTACTCATGGTATATCGAAAACGTTTTACTGTGTTGGGAGAGGCTATGAACACTGATCTAACAATAGATAGATTATTTATAAAAGTGTAAGAATCTTTTTTTCTCTCTCATCTAATTTTCTTCTTAAATTTTGACAGAATTCACACACAAATGGGAAGTAATAACCTACAAAGTAGCAATGAAGATATTGGCTCTCCTCAATGCTCCTCCAACTTTCACCTCTCATCATCAGATTATTTTTCACCATCAAACTCCCATTCACAAACTAAGAATCAGCTCCACAGAGCAAGTGACCTTCTCATGGCATTCTCAGTGTGCACCAACGCCAACCGCTCGAGAATCACCGAGCTGGCCGACGCAGCCATGGACAAGCTCACCAAAGCAGCCCTTGATGGAGATCCTCTATGGAAACCCCAAGAAGATCATGAAAAAACTTACTTAACATTGATGGATATAATGAAAATGGTTGAGGTTGGGGAGCCACATTCTAGTCTTCTAGACCTAGAAATTGGCAATATCAACATCAACACCAACACCAAGCCAGACAGTTTCAAGCAACAAGAACAACAACATAATCATCTCCAAACTGAGATTTCAAGACATGTTGGATATGTCAGAATGGAACCAGCCAGAATTGTTGGGTTTTTTATGGATCTGGTCTGTTGTTTTTGTATAATAATAAAGTTGAGATTTTTCTCAAGTTTATGTAGAATATGTAATTTTGGGATTTTAATGTTGTTATAATTTTTTTCCATTAGGAACAATGGTCAGCTGCCTTCTCCAACATTGTTTCAAGAGCAGCAATTCTTCAAGTTTGGTCATCAATGGGGTCTGCAGAGAATTACCACGGAACTATGCAAGTGGTAATTAATTAACACAAATTAAATCTTATTATTATAAGCTAAGTGAGATTCTTAAGAAGTTATTTGATTGAATATTATTATTATATATGTATTCTTGATTTGGTTCCCACTGTTTGCATCTAGTAATGAGAATTATCAAGTACTAGGAAATACTTTGTGGTTGTTTGGATGTGTTCTGTGTGAGATGAATTTTTCAAAAGTACTGTTTATGTGAAAGTTAAGTTTTTATAAGAGAGTTCTTACCCTAGTTATTATGAGTTACTTGTGAACTTATTCCATGTTCATGATTTATATTATAATTGTTCTTAAGAAATTTGGAGATGTTGTTATTTTGGTAATAGGTTTAAAACGTCTAATTATAGTCCATGTACTCTTAACTTTTGGTCATTTTAGTCTCTATACTTGCAAAACTTCAGTACTTTTAAAAAGTAACCATTTTGTGGTCTTTATTTACAAAACTTTAACATAAATTTTATATCCAACGGAAACCTTTTAATACAGTTTTATTGCTAGAACATTTCATGAAACTTGGTGAGTGAAATATCACCTTAAAATTACAAAGGCCTAAACAGTTACTTTTTAGAAGCACTTAAGCTGTATTATATTTATCGTGTGATATATGCAGATGACAGCGGAGTTTCAAATCCCGACACCACTTGTTCCGACAAGAGAGAGTTACTTTGTGAGATACTGCAAACAATTGGCTCCACAAACATGGGGAGTTGTTGATGTCTCCTTGGAACATCTCTTCCCTTATCCATCTGTTGGCTTTCGTCGAAAACCCTCTGGCTGTTTAATCCAATCCATTCCAAATGGATTCTCCAAGGTTCTTTCTTTTTCCTTTTTATGTGTGCACCATGTTGTCGTGGACCGTTTGATAACGTTTCTAACTCTTTGTTTCTCATTTCCGACAAATAAAAACATAACTGCATTTGTCAATTGTTTCTTGTTCCTGATCGTTTCTTTTTTTATTGAGAAAAGAAACATAAACATATTCGATAACAAAAGGACCCTCGAGTTCCATATTTTTTGGTTTCTTGTTTCTCGTTTACTGCTTCTAGCTTGTTCCCTCTTTTCTAAAAGAGAACAAAAAGCCCAAAGAAAAGAAACAGGATAAACTAAATCCAAGAAACCTAAATTGTTACCAAACGAGTTGTTAGTACGTAGTGATCTTTTCCGTCTTTTTTGTTACAAAAAATAAGTTGTTTGGTTTTCTAACATTTAATAAATAACAAAGGACTCTCGATCTATGTTTTTTGGTTTCTTGTTTTTCGCTTACGGTTTATTGTTCCCTCTTTTCTGAAGGAGAACAGAAAGTCCAAAGAAAAGAAACAAGATAAACTAAATCCAAGGAACAGAAATGGTTATCAAACGAGTTGTTACTAGTGATCTTTTCCGTCTTTTTTGTTACAAAAAATAAGTTGTTTGGTTTTGAACGTTTAATAAATAAAAAAGAACCCTCAAGTTCCATGTTTTTTAGTTTGTTGTCCCTCTTTTCTAGAAGAGAGCAAAAAGTCCAAAGAAAAGAAATAGGTGAACTAAATCCAAGAAACAGAAATGGTTACCAAACGAACTATTCGTAGTGATCTTTTTCTCTCTTTTGGTTTTGCAGGTGATGTGGTCGGAGCATGTGGAAGTTGACAACAGATTTGTTCACAAAATCTTCGAACCATTAATGAATTCTGGTTTGGCATTTGGTGCAAAACGATGGGTTTCTTCTCTGATTAGACACTGCATTTGGCAAGCTACATTATTAATGCTTACCACTACTCCTACGCCCAAAGGAGGTACTCTTTTAACTTTCTTATTACTTAATTTTCTTCGTTTAATACACTTTTCACTATTACATTATTCCTCTTTTTTTTGTCATACAATAATTCTTTCTAGCTTAGGTTAAACTACAAGTTAGATCATTCTAGAGCCCGAACTTTGATGAGCATAAAATCATTTCAGAGTCTAAACTTTGACGAGTCTGCTTGGAATTTGTTTTCGTAACTGAGTTGTTTTTTTTCTTCCTATATTAACTTTTATGTTTGTGTTTTTGTACCGCTTGGGATTATTTCATGCGATGAGATCCAACTTTTTTCCTTGCAATATACCTAAACAAAAAAGAAAAAGAAAATTAGATCAATGAGATGAATTTAAGTCACACTCTCAATATATATCATAAAGATATAGTGTGTAAAGATCTTGGTTAAATTACCGGTTTTGATTCCTGAACTTTTAGAAAGTATCTATTTAGCTTGGTACTTTAAGAAATTGTTTTTATAGGTTTTTTCCAACTTTCAAAGATTGTGTCTATCTGGACCGGTAGCATGTATACTTTGAAAAGTTTCTAATGTATCTTTATGGCTAATTTTGTTAGTTTAGGTGCTTAATTACATGCTTAAGCGAGTTCGGGCGTCTGAGTAGGGACTTTTCAATCTTCTATAAGTATTACGGATTAAGTAGACACCATTTTAAAAATTTAATAACATATTAAAAAAAATAACGAAGCTAAAATAGAAAAACTTTAAAAATTCAATAATCTTATAGTGTAAAACACCACAAATACAAATATGCAAGATCTTTCTCAGCGAACATATCAAATGAGAGAGAATTTGAAACACACGAATTTATTGTATTAATCAATATATTTAGATAATATAACTCAGCCACCAATTTAAAACGATTCACCAACATTAGCGTTGCTCAACGATACTTGAAATATGTCTTTGACCAAGTAGTCATGAGTTTGAATCCTCTCATCCTCTCTTGTTGTTCTCAAAAAGGAAAAAAAAATTAAGACATTCAAATAAAAATCTATAAACCCACTTAAAATAATTTTGAAGGCCAACCAAAACTTAACACAGTTGGTTAAGGTGTATATCTCGAATCAAAAGGTCGTGTGTTCGCACCCTATATATTATTTAAAAAATATAACTTCAAGTAGCTAGATATTATAATTATATGAATATGTTACCAATTACTCGTAACATTAGAATGAGATACTTCAAACTTTTTTGTAGTCTTGATATCACAAGCTGGAAGGTATAGTGTATTGAAGTTGGCTGAGAGAATGACAAGGAGTTTCTATAGTAATGTGAGCACTTCTAAAGACAGTCTGTGGATGAAAATTCCCATTTCTGGAGCTGAAGACATTAGAGTCATGACCCGAAACGGCAAAGATGATCCCGGAAAACCTCCCTGTACCTCGGTCATTTTCTCCACTTCTGTGCACATTCCGACCACCCCGAGACAAGTTTTCCATTTTCTTCGCCATGAGAAGTCACGAAACAAGGTACGTGATTCGAATTTACGTCATCATATATAAGTTTGAGCAACTACAAGATGTTTCTAAGAGGGCATAGCAATGTTGCAATACCATGGTGCTAAACATAGAAAAAGCTTTACCAAACTATTTTCTCATTCTCTTCATTCATATGCTACAGTGGGACATCCTTTCATATGGCCTTTGTATCACAGAGCTTGATTACATCATCAATGGCGACGACCCAAGAAACCGAGTGTCAGTAATTCAAGTGAACGTAAGTTTCAGTTTGATTTCTTCTGCAGACAGCGCTTCCTACATGATCAAACTTTGATTTGAAAAGTTGATGAATTTGCAGTCTGCACCAAGACGAGTCGAGATCTTTTACCTGCAAGAGAGTTTCTTCGACACAACAGGATCCTATATAGTCTATGCACCCATCGACGTCTTTGCAATGTCGGCGGTCTTTCATGGAGGAAACCCAGATAATGTAGCTATCCTGCCTTCTGGCTTTGCAGTCCTTCCAGATAAACCAAACATGAATGGAGAGGAATATGAAACTGATGGAAGCATTCTGACTGTTGCCCTCAACATTATTGACCATTCAATAACTGAGAGAATTCCTTATGAATCAATGGATTCCATGCATAAGATTATGGATGAAACTGTTGCCTCAATTAAAGAGGCTTTCACAATACAACAATTTTGACTGAGGAAATTGTAATAACTGCTGCCATTGGCCATATTTGGTATGAACGAAGTATTTTCTTTCAGAATAAAGTGTTCATGGCTACATGGTGAAGATGACCTTCAATCTAAATGTGACAAAGCCAAGAATACCTGGAAATAGGTGGCTTTACAAGCTGTTTATGTTACAATTTACAAGTCGGGATTATCCCTTTTTCTTGATCAGGACGCTACCAGAGATCGGAGAGAATAAGGAGAAACTTCAGCAATTTCTCATGTGAAAGAGTCGAATTTGATTAATCCTACAAAGCACAATACCTCAAGGTAACCTACTAGGTGAGGTGTGTTGCTCTGTAACATCAGCTCGGGGACGTCCAAGACGATAAACTTACAGGTTCACCTGCAACTTACCCTCTGCAACCTTAAAGCTCATCATCTCTTTGGAAGAATATCTGATAATGAGAAATCATAGAAAGGAGGACCTGCAAAAGAGCATTACTATATATGGCTTAGTCCACATGATATTGATATTTCTAAACTATACTTTCAAGCAGAGAGCATAAGTCTGCAACTCATTAATGTATTGGTGGTTACTTCCTCTTCTTTTTTTTCTTTTCTTGGTCCTAATTTTTCATCTTACAATTTTTATTATGGAGTTCAGCTTCCATTGTTTAAAATTTATTTTTCTAAGAAAGCCCACAAGGAGAAGGAAAAAAGGCAAGAACCAATGTGCTAACTCCCATAATCATAGAACCTACGAGTAGAAAGAGCATGAAAGGAGGCTAGAGATCGAAGACCTTCATGTTCACAGAGAATGTAAAACGGGAATGTGTGCAACCATCTTAGTTCCGCCTTGACTCCAGTCGGTTCCTGGGTTAAGTGCAGCTTGTCTAGAAGGCCCCAAAATGGACAAAGAAACTCCAGGGTCACTCAGTAGCCCTAGATAATTGTAAGCTCGAGTCCAGACCCTTGAATCTGAGGTTCGAGATCAAGCCACCAGTTCATGTAATTTAGTTCATCTATGTCAATAATGTATCCATTTTATCTTCCCTACAAATCCCCTGGCATCTAGTAAAGGGGAAAATGAAAGAACATAAAATTTTATTTTGTCCCGACAGTAACAAGACTGGAGATCCTTTCAGCCCAAGTTCTTAGAGATAATACTAAATGCTGAGAAATAGACCTTTCCCAATGAGACCTGCGCTCTCGGTAGTAATTCACGGTGGTATGTCGCAAGTTTTGCAATTGCAGTAATAACAAAACATAGAAGCCTGGACTGTGATGACTTTCTGAAGCTCTCCCCACTGGAATTATCGCTCGAGTCCTGTCTCATACCTAGAAGACTTTGGAAGAAAAGAAGAGATATGCAGCAGATGAAAAATGTGAAGTTCTGAAACAAGATGCAAAGGTAGTTGTGGTAAATCATACCTGGATAAAAGATTTTCATACAAAAGCAACTCTAAGCTCTCAAAAAGTTCACGGGCAGCATCTTTGTGAGATCTGCCACCCCCGCCATGTTCTCCAATGGCCCAACACAATTGCAATGCCAGTTCTGTCTAGAAAGAAGAACAAGGTGCAAGTAATTCAACCAACAGTTGTTTTATTTTTCTGTTTCATCGGATACAAGAGGTAAGCAACAACCTTTGCAGGGTTCTCGTAAGCTTCACCAAGCCGGTCCGTTATAGGTTTCTGCAAAGAACCAGAAGGAAAGAAATTTGAAACAGCTAAGAAATAAAAAGGTCCTTGATAATAAGGTCTCAGCATGTATGAACATCTAATACGATGCATAATGCATCATTCCTTTCATTGAGAGTAGATGACACTGTTAGGAATACCATYAGGATAGTTAGGATATTATTAAAATAGCAGGGATATATTAGTAAAGCCAAGAAACTGGTTATAAATAGAGGGAGTGAAAGGAGATGAAGGTAGGCATTTGGTAGGTTTAAGCTTGGGTGGAATACACGAGGAAGAGGGAGGTTTCAAGTAACTCGAATACCTGAAGAGTTACTATATTCATTTATCCTTTTATCTTTCAATATTATTCCGGTTATTTAGTTCCCATAAGACGCACACCAGTTAGCCTCAATAATACCTCAGTATCAAGGCCACACCCTCAGAGACAGTGAGAGAAAAAAAATTCACCATAAATCGAAAAGAAATGTCATATAACAAAAGTAGTAAATAGTGACCTCCAGAATTGTTTATATGCATCACACATTCTAAATCATGGAAAAGACAAGAAAAACAAGAAAAGTTTATGAGAAGTCACATAGTCATTGATTAACGAAAAGCATAGAGCCAATAATTTATCAGTACAAAATACCTTGAGAAGTGCAATGAAGGCTGGAGACCGCTGAAATGCAGCAAGCATAAATTCTAGGAGCCTCTTACAAACCTATAAATCACTTAAAAAGTTCAAATTCTTAACCTCACAACCCTACAATTGTTGATCCATGTTCTAGGTAACAAAAGCAGTATCTGAAAGTAATAGTGTGATATAAATTTAAGGGATGGAAATACGAAAAAAATCATGAATATTTTATTGCCGATAAACAATAGAGGGAGATAGATTGAGATAAAAAAAAAAAGAGAGAGAGAGAGAGAGAGAGAACAACGTGCTAGTTTCTTTTCCTTTCTGAATACACAACTTTCTGTTTCTTATAAAAAAATGCGATTGGTTTCATCAGTTTTCACAAGGCTTTGATATGAACAAAATTTTCAATATGAAAAAATAACTAGTTCCATTCAAAAAATGGAACCAACTAGTCTCAAAATATTCTTTTACTAATAACCTCTTTGAACTTTCCCAACCTATTTCATAAAAACAAATCCAAGAATTTCATTAAAAATGAAATATTTATAGAAATGAGGATAAGCTTCATAGAAAAACCACGATAACAATAACAACATTATTTATCAAAACTTTCAGTTTTCCTCCAACTATTCACCCTATGTTTCGCCCTTCCCTTAAGAATCATCCTCTCTCACCAGAGTCTAAGCTTGTGACTTCTCTTCTTTTTATTCTCTTCTCATTTTCTCTATTTCTCTTTTCCCCCTTATATTTCAACCTTCCAGCCAAATGTCATGCTACTTGATTTTGGTAGAGTTTACTCTAGCTAATAAGATCATCTTGCCATCTTGGTGTCAATTCTGGTCAAAAAACTCAAAACTGACTGTGAAGTACTCCTAGGATAGTCTGCGAATAGTATTAGTATATTAGTTGGGGGCGTTATGGTAATTAGTTAGCGGTGAGTTGTTTATAAATAGAGGAAGTAGGGAGAGGAAGGGGATCTTTGGAAATAGTCTCAGTGAAGGAACTTGGTATAGTTCTTTGGGAGAGAGATAGCCCCTAACTAATACCACTCCTAAACTATCCTAGGAGCTCACACCACCTGGCTTTAAACCAATAATAAACATCATTTATTCATCTTCTGCAAATACCAACTATAGTTATATTTCAGATTTTAATTTTAAAAAATATAATATTAAAAAAAATAAAGAAGAAACAAACTCATCAAACAACCAACTAAAGAAAAAGAGTCAGAAAATGAACAATCTAGAAAACAAAGTATATTTCATATTTGAATTTAAAAACAATCTAGAAAATGAGATGAATTTTATTCGAGCTTTCTTTTGGATCATTTGGAGAGAAAGAACCCAAGAACCTTCAACGATAATTTAATCCTTATGAGAGGCTTTTTAATGCTATAGTCTTCTTAGTTATCACTTGGTGTAAATGTTCTCCTTTGTTTCATCACTATATCCCTTGAATAGAGCTTCTGTAATTTCATACCATCAATGAAATTGCTTCTTTCACGCCCAAAAAAAAAAAGAAAGAAAAAACTACATTCTTCGAGAAAGAAAATGAAGAAGAAAAAACTTATCAAACTGACCAGCTAAAGAAAAAGTGTTGAAACATGACCAATATGAAATGCAAAGTTTTTTTTTGGTTAAAAACAAGAATTTCATTGATGACATGAAATATACAAAAGGCCACAAGGACAAGTTACAAGAACGCTTTCTAAATAGCGATAAGGTCGCTTAGCTTGTAACTATTGAAAGGGGAGTAAAAACATTTACACCATTCAGAGCAAGAAATGCAAAGTTATGGTAGTAAATTGATACTTAATAAAAAAAAATGTGTCTAGTCTTAGAGCCAATAATTTACGAGGCAAAACTCAGAAAAATTATAAGATAAAGTACGCATTATATACAGTATACACACATAATAGTTATTGAACCAGGCTTTTCAAAGATGCAACACACCCATCCCAAGTTGGCAATCTAACGGCAGTCATGTGGTGTAATACCCATGCTTTCCAAAGTGAACAAATAATGCCACAACAAGAACTTAACTTAATCCACATTCGGATGCACACCTTATATGAGAAATCTTTGTCGGGAAATAATGTGGAGTTTCTTGACATAAGCAAAGGAACCAGCGCACAGATTAATGCTGAAAAAGAAGGGAGGTAAAATGTAAATATCTAAAATAACTATTAACAAAATTAAATGAAGATACAAAATGAATAAGACATTCTCAGATCTAAAGGCAATCACCCAAAGCAACATCATACAATTGTTAACCTCTTGCAGTGCAACGGAAAAGTACACATCAAGAATCCGAGGTGTCATGTTCAGTATTTGTTTCAGCCTAACAGATGGAGTATTTATTGCGGTCTGCAATACTGCAGCCATCACAGGAGAAGTCCAATGTCGTTCCTGAATGAATAGTTAATAAACTTAAAAACTTATTCCACCATCCAGTTACAATAAAAAAATTCCTTAGATATAAAGTTACAATCTAAATTTCAAATTATAGCATAAAAAATAATGGTGATATGATCTAAATACGGAAGCAAACAGAAGACTTGAAGAGTGCCACCAGGGAGATCAAAGACAAAGCAAGAACACATACCACTACAAATACACAAATTTGTAATCCTTATCATGGAAAAAAACATTCACTTGGAAATAAAATCAGAAAGAGGAAGACGTATACTGTTCAAAGTGAAACGTTTAGCTGCTTCCTCTCTGTTTCCCAAGCCCATCAGGCAGTTTTGAAGCCACAGGCACGCTCATCAAATGCATATAGTATCCAAAGACAATGATCTGACTTCAAGGATTCCCCATTGAGGCCTGAGGGTCAAATTCTTCCCCAACCATTTTATATTTGATCTTATAGTCTTATCTTTAAAATTTAAATCTCTAGCTTCTGTCGTTTTATATCTCTCGAGACAAACTTTTGGAGTTGCCTGATAGGCCATATAGGTTTTTCCTTCTCACTATTTTCTTTAATTAGCAGCATATATATTTCCATCACATACATTGGCCAAAAACACAAATAAAACAAGATGTTATGGGCTAAAAATGAACTGTGAGTGAGTTGTGCATGTGGCAGTTCACAAAACACATTGATGAGCATATTCCTTCAATAGCAACGCTAAAGTAAAAACATTAATTTAAAAACAACTGCATAAACATTTTAAAAGACGAATAGTTGTGGAGCTCATTTTAAATTACTGTATTCCCGTAGTATAGTCTTTATTGATACTATGATATTTCCAGTTAACCAGATACTAAAATTCAGAATGTAGATATAGAGAAAGAATCCCTACAGAAAGACCATCATTTTCATCCTCCAAAAGTTCTAAGAAGAGAGGATCAGCTACATCTATTCTGCTGCTGTCCTCAGATTCAGAGTCTCCCCCTGCATCCCCGATGGTTGAACCAGTGTAAGCCTCATCCATGAGTGCAAGTAGCATCTGTACCAAATATAACATGAGGATTCTAGCATACTATAAATTGGATTTTTATGTGTGAGCTTTCTGAATTCTGATATAACCTCAGGGCTTTACTCTTCTGGATTGAAGCTATGCTATTTCCAACTAGTGATCCTGAGCTCCGCTCTACCCTTTCCAATGCGACTACCAAAACTACAATAAATTACCAACATGAGTCAAAATTTGAAATTAAATAACAAAATTATATAATGTAATGCAAGTCTGCTAACAAAAAAGAGTAAAGCAAGATGAGCATGCCAATAGGAAAACATCGTACAAATTCTCCAAAAGGTCTAGTATCTATCACTTGTGAGAGAGAGAGACGTGTGAGGATCGCAAGGAATGTCAGTCCATAAAACTTGTGAATGACAGAAGAAAGTTGAGGGAGTAATGGTGAAGATAATATATATCAGCAGTAACTAATAAAAGCTAAAAATGGCGAATCTGGAACACAATGAGCCTCTATCCTTCTTTTTTATTACATAAACAAGACTATGTACAAGACTCTCATGATATGAGTTAAATGCCTTGAAAGAAGTAGAGATCAACAGAAACCTATCTATAGACACAGCCCTCATCAAATTCTTCTCAAGCAGCCATGTGAAATAATACACCTGATATCAGAACCCACAATTTTAATTTTGTCGAGGGTTGTAGGAGAACCAGAAATTTTCTGTGATCTCATTACTTAAAAGAATAATAAGGATGAAGACTCGTCAACTTCCAAAAAAATTTGGTCAAGACACTTGAGAACTTTGATACAACCTCGTCTGAAGATATTTATATATAGCCAAGACCTC